CCTATGGTTCCTTTCTCATATGGCAGTTAAAAATGCCTGTAAAACAATGAAATCCATTTCATTAGACAGATGCATACAACCTTCCAAACAGCCTCTCTCATAGCATGCACAGTTTTTCACCAGTTAATTACTTCAAACTACAGTTTATGAAAGTATCTCTATAGCTGGCTAACCTTCAAGAGAAGGCCTGATTCTGCAGTCATACCACAGAGCTGCTGCTGAAGTCACACCACCAGAGTAAGCACTGATTACAGAGTCAGATCGTAGTAATAATTTTGGAAACAATGCCTGCTTGCATAGTAGGCTTTTGTCTCCAGCTTCGCTTATTTCCACCTGGAAAGAATTCATTTCATGGTGAAAGCACTTCAGGTGTCAAAATTACAGGGCTACTCCTCTCACTCGTGGGGCCACAGCCTCCATGACTACCATGGGAAGTTTGCTGTAAAAGCAGCCAATACCGATGCAGGCTTTCCCACGCACTTGCCACAGACCAAGGACTGGTAGCTTCAGTTCAGGTACAGGGTGACACCCACAGCAGAGCTTCTTGGCACATCAGGTCCTTCTGTCCCTTTACACAGAAGTGTCCATTGACACAGTGCATTTCTTCTCACTGGTCCGAGGCTCCAGACCCTCAGATGTTACACATGGTAAGCACCCAACTGATGGAAAGTTGTCAGCATACTCAACAGGACTGGTATGAAGTAACACTAGGTTGTGTGCTGCGTTTTTGTTTTTTTTTTTTTAAACACTTCTATTTCACTCAAAATAAATGTTTTCGCAACTTCTACTACTTCAAAGCTAGCAGGCCTATACATACACAATTGCCTTAGGAACGGTGTTGAACACGGTAGTGCCTGAGCAACAGTATGACTAGTGAAATGTCTTTCTCCCTCCAACTCCTTAGCGAACAAGCTGTATCAAGAACACTCAAATGCTGCTGTTTCGTATGAATTTGTCTTCTCTGTGTATGACTGAATGGTCTAAGAAGACAAGAACCTGGTTGATCTTCTTCCTGTGATTTGTAAGGGCTCTCTCTTCAGCAAATTCTCTGCTGCCTATTAAGATACGAGCTCAAGCAGCTATCTTCCTCTTGGTCCTGGAATTTTAAGTCTCTCTTCTCTAGCGGCTTATTTTCACTCATCTGACAAATTTGGGGTGAAATCAGTCAACACATTAAAAAGTTATCTGGTGGGACATGCAGACCAAAAATGGGTACATGTGGAGCGAGACTCCCAACCCTCACTTCCATAGGTAGCCAAACCATGTATTATAAGTCTTTAGTATTGGATTAAACGTGGTCCATGGAAAATTAATGTGTCCAGGACATCTTACATTCCCATATACATGAATAGATAAAGAATCCACCTCAGGGTAAAAGCAGCTGTCAATGAGACAACTCAATGAATGGGAGCTATGGGATCTGATCCACAAACATATTAACAAGTTATATAAACATATGTATATGTGTGTAATTAAAGGATGCATAATACAAAAGTCTACTATCAATTCAGAATTTATTTGCAGAATTAAAAAAATGAGGTTACAATTCACAAGCAATAGCAGAGAACTGAGCCATGAGTGGATTGTGAATCACTCAAGTTCTGTATCAACAGTTCCAGCATTGCCTTTTTTGTTTATGCAACAGTGGTTTGACTGTTTATAGGCAGGAAGTTCTGTGAAGGTCAGTACTGCTGCTATCATCTGAGGGCCACTAGGCATTCTTTTATTTAAAGCCTATGTTTGAAAGTTTTTGACTCCAGAGTCAATGTGAAAAAATGCCATTTTCAGTTTGCTTGGCATTTTACCTTCAGCCACAGGTGACTTCTACTTTTATATATATATAAAAGTATTTGCACACTTATGCTGAGTGTGCAAAATGTTGGAAAGATCAGTGCTGACATCGTCAAATGTGAACACAGAAAAATAGCCCTTTACTCTATTCTTTGTCACCAAATAAAGCAAGATGAGTTTTGCGTATCTTGAACACCCAAAACTGCCCCCTTGCAAGCGCACTGTTTCTACGCATTTTTGCACAGCAGGTTGACTAAGCTGGGTGAGTAGGTGCACGTTAGATTTGGACACTTAACCTTGAAAATGTTGAAAATCTTTATATAAAACGTAGTTTTTTCCCCTCTCTGCTCCTCATCAGAAAACTATTTTCCTACAGACTGCATGTTTGTGCCCACTATTAATAGCTAATGGGTTCTGAAAAGAAGGTGCGGATTTTTCAAGCAGAAAATGAATCCAAATACATTCAAATTTTAGTGGTCCAGAGAGATCAAATTACACTGTATGTGATTTGGAAAATCTCCTTTAAAAGTTTCTCTTCCACAAGATACAGAATCTACACGCAAGAGGGAACAAACAGCTACATAGCACTGAGGCACCAACAGTGAGGCTGCAGACAAGGACCAGGAGAGTCTGGACTGAAGTAAGGTGCATCAAGAGCTCTGCTTTGTCTACATATTTGCATCATTCAGACAACTAGATACTACAGGTAACGTATCCCCTCTTACCTCCTGGGAGACTGACTCAATAGTCAGGAACTACTTCATCAAGATCAGCTCTGCTCTATCAAGACAAGCCAAATGGCACACAGAACTGTTTGTGACCAATTTCCTTCTGAGAATCATGTCACTGTCTTAGGAGACTAAGTAAGGATTTGTGATTCTAACGTTGCCACCATTTTATTTTAAAATATTTTGAAAACGCTTCCTGATTTTACGTACCAAAGCAACGTGAACAGTGAATTCCACACCAATGCCAACAGAAGCAATCAGGATAACCACAGGCACTGCACTCAGCTTTATTCCAATTAGACCCATCATGCCAAACAGCTCCACAGTCATCAGAGCCAGCACCACCACCTAGATGATTCAAACAGTTGTTAGTAACTTCTTATACTCCAGACAAATGAAGAGAAAGATATTTCAAAACAACGTGGTGACTATAAAACACACTCCTCAAAGCCATCCTATATTCCCAAAGACAAGCTGCTTTTCCTTGTTTCATTGTGCTCAATGGCAATGACTTGTTAAAGAGCCAGTTTAAATTACACTCCTAAGAACCACTTACCAGACCAAGCATCAATTTTATATTGGTCACAATTTATCAGTGATCTGAAAAACAACTTATTCTTCCTTATCATGGATACCCCCCAAAACACACATTTTCTCTTTTTCACCTGTGTCTTGGACAATCCTTCCAGAAAAAGTAACTTTCAACTACCTGTATTGGAATTCTTTTTTGTAGAACTGCAAATGTAAGTGAGGATGACTTTTGAGTAGGTTTAAAGCCCAGAAGAAAGTGAATGCCATAATCAGCTGATGAGTCTCAGGTTACAGAGGGGCTCTGAGCTTTTAAGATACTTGGAGGGATTGACACAGACAAATGAACAGTTAAATCTAACAGAAAGCTTTTATTTTTCTTCCATCTACCTTGTAAAAAAAATTGAGGAAAAGAGAGGGGAGGAAATCTGATGAATCAACTTTAAAAGTTGCTAAAGCCAAGCAGGAAAAAAAGATAGAAATACTTATAAAAGCAATGGTAGACTTTGAAAACAAACGCCTTTTCCATGGGAAAAAAGTATGCACTACAATAAATGATTTTATAAGCTAATGAATCAAAAGTAATAACATAAATTGCTTGATTAAGTGCTATGAAAAATATTCTAGACTAAACATTTACCTTTTAACATACCTGTCGTATAAACGTACATTACAAAAACTAGTAACTGTTTTACGCTTTTCTACTTCTGGCATTTTATAAACCATATGATAGTTTATGGAATTTAAACATAGGAACATCATCATTCAATTTAACTTGAATGTTTACTGAGAGGCTTATGGTGCCTTGCAGAAAGCATGGAGGAGTATTCTCTTCAGTTTATAATTTTATGGCTCTTTCTCCTTGATAGCTCAGTTACACTCTTTCCACAGTGTGTACCGTACAACCTAACCATTTCAGTTTTTCCAGAAAGACTGCATTCAGAAATCAGAGGGAAAATTTACGGGCAAGTTAGTCACTAAGCAACTGCCTTGAAAAATAACTATGTCTGATAAAAGGGGAGAAGGAATAAATAATTAGAAATAATTTTAATATTTAATAAAGCGCTTAATTTTCCTCTGTGTCTTATTTCTCATGTTAGCGTGCATCTGAGCAAGGGCAAAAGTTTATGTACCTTTCTAAGAAACCTTTAAAGCTGCAAAAAAGGTGACCAAAGGATTAAGGTTATTAAGGTTTGTACCTTTAGCATGAACCCTACCCCCTCAAGTTGAATAAATATATAATGAATGATGCAATATACATACTCCACCAGAGGCCCAGACATAAACAAAACCTTCCCGACTACAGCAAGAGCTATGCTGAAAGGAATTTGACTTCAACAAAGACCCTTATAATAAACTTACAATGATCCCAGCCGTCCAGGGGTTTAGGAGGAAGAGGGCACACACCAGAAACGTGCAAGCCAAAACCACGCTAATGGATAAGAGGAGCCAGTGACGAAGCCCAATGTACTGCTCCCAAAACAGAAATGGGTAACCATTTGGGTAGCTGGCGATCCCCAGGCTGGTGTAGTTACTACAGATAGCTCTCACTTTCTCGATAGCCTCCACAAAGTCAGAAGTTTCACGCAATCCATTGAGGTAGAAAGGAAACTGAGCGTATTCTATGGGCTCAGCTGCTGGAACTAGGAAGAAGACAGCAGTGTTAAAATGGGTGTTTGGAAAGAAGAAGATATGCAGAGAGCACGATTAACAAAACGCTTTGTTCTCCACAGCAGAATGCTTAAAGGTGTTGAATTTAAATTTTACTTCTTTGGAACAAGTGACATTTCAAAAACTCCTCAATAAATTGAAAGCTGAAGCAGTACAGGAGATTACTATATTTTGTCACGCAGTGCAATGGGATGAACACAGTCTACATCAAGTCCCCAAATAATTCTATATAATTTAACAGATATATTTCAATATATGTTATTTAATCCTCATCAGTGCTATAGTGGTTTTTACTGAATACCTGGCCAAAAATCCCTAACTGCAATATAAAGTAGAAGATCAAACCATCCTAAACATTTTATCCAAATGCTCTTCTTTTATGCAAGTGCAGTTCCTTTGAAATCAAAGGTCATTCCCCTGAGATTAATTGAGGTCCACCAACGCAAAACTAGAGAAAAATTATGCTCCATCAGCCTGATTGGTTTTTAAGATTTCCATTGAATATTTTGAAAGTCAGATTCAGAAATCCATGTTCTGTTACTGATGCAAATGACTGGGAAAAACACCTAATATAAAAGTAGTGGTTTACCAAGGAAATACATAACTTTTAATCCCTTATTAATTTGAAAACCCAACACTTTCCATACTTCTTTTTGAGCATAATGCTAAGTCTACTGTATGACAAGAAAAAAAAAAGCCCCCAAAACAAGCATTTTGTTACTGCCGTTGTGTGTTCCAGACCCTGCAGGGTCATTCAGTTGACTTGCTAAACATGATTTGCCCTATTATAATCTCAACTATAAATTTTCATTAAGACAAGACTTGGCTGACTGCCACAAAGCTCTAGGGTTTGGATACACTGAAGCGTGGCTAGCTGGTTACCCAATCACGTTTCCAAGCACACCAGTCCTCCCCTATATGCCCTCTCCCTTTCCCCACTGGTATCCAACTAACAATCCTCCCAATAAATTGAAAGCTGAAGCAAAGCCATGCGAACTGGCCAGGTGACACTAAAAACCAATGCTTACTGTAAGTTTTTAGAGCTTTAAACGGTTATAAACCTCATTTTTCAACATGATGAAACCCTGCAGTGGTGCCACATTTGCAATGGTGCATGGGTCTCCCAAGACTACAGAGTAACACAATATATTGTCCTGTTCATGCCTCTGAGCCCTGTGCAGCACCCACCAACTACAGAGTTACTGGTTCTTGAAGGAAGGAGTGGGGGTACTTATATAAACTGTAAGACATTAAGATGAAATGCCACTTACTTCTCAGCCTTGTTTCTGGCATATAGTCTGCTTTGTCGTGGACCCACTCTGGGCGGTGAGGCCGGATGTTGGCTTGCGAGGCAGCGTAGGCCACAGGGTCATTGCTAACCCAGGCTGTCAGGTAGATGTAGAAAGCATTTGGGTTAATGATTCCATCTGCATCCACCAGACGCTGTTTAGTCAACTGCAAAATGGAAAAAATTAGAAGCCTTTCAGGAGGAGTTTTGCTTTCAGGGCTCTTGCTGTAAAACTTTCAACAAACGGCCTCGAGATGCAACACGCATATAGGAGGGGAAAAGCAAAAGAGTATGAATCTTCACTTGAAGTGACTTACCAGTAAACTATTGTTTGACAATGAAAAAAACCCTAAAAAACTACAGTGACAGTAGAAAGTGGTTATTTATAAATCAGTACTCATATAATATTTACAATAACCACTAAATCAGCAGATGGTTCCAGAATAGACTGAACCAATTAAATCCGAATTCTGAAAGCCTGCAGCCAAGAGTGAAAAACAACCAAGTTGAAGAAACATATTTAAAGAAAGGGAAAGAAAACCTGGCAAGAGTCCCTATACACGTCTGTGTGCAGTTAACCTCTGTTGTTAACACTGAAGGAAATGCCACCCAGTAAATGGAGGAGAGCTATAAAAATAAAACAACATCTGTATAAATTTTGCTAACACTTGCCTCCTATGACCTATGTATTCAGAAAATGCCCAGCGTCAAGAGAGCAGACGAATGCCCTGTGTTATTTGGGTCACTGTGGGCAAATGCATCTGTGGGGTAAACAGCAGTGGTACACTTCTAGGGTTCTGTAGCCAAATCCTGCACAGCTAGAGCTCTGACAGAGGACTCTGTGGGTGAAAAGTATTACTGGGGTTTTTTGTTTTGTTTATTTAAAATTCTGGCTTGGCTCCATTTTCAGGTCTTTTTAATGAAATGAAAAACAACAGTGACAGCAGTTAAAAAAAAAGCTGGATTCCAAGGATCTGGATTCAATTAGTCCACAGGATATGCAACAACTGTATGTCTTCAAGCTGTCTCTGGAACTGCACAGTACAGCGCTCAGCCCCTGTGGGTGCACCGCACTTTTCTCCCTCCCAGGCACAGGAAATTATATCAGCAGCTGCAGTCCAATCGCATTTGTTCCACAGTGTACCTGGTACACTCCGCTAAACAAAATCTCACTGAAGGTTTTCTCTTCAACTCCCTTTCTTTGCTTAATTCATAGCTGAAGCTTCATTCAGACCTGGCAGCATGCTGCATGTTGCTATACAGCAGTGTGTTTTACACACCATAGTAACTTTGAACAATGTACTCTGTAAATCTGTCACCTTTAATGCCAGGAAAGAAAGAAAGACAATAGGCAGATCTGCCAAGAAGCTCATTAGAAAGGCTATTTTTCTGCCTGAAAGCACAGCGCGTCAATGATGACTCTAGGAAAGGAGAAGTTAAGTTATTGCAGAATTTCTTCTTAAGAGGTTTGAAATCTAATTTTAGTGTAAGGAGTCAAACCTAATGTGTTTCCACCTACCAGTGGCTACAGCAAATGCAGTCATATGCTGTGATAACCTTGCAAAAGAATTTCAGACATATTTTATAGAGGCAGCTCAAACAACTGTCATTCTTAGTTCTACAACAGTATAGCTGTATTTAGTGATGATGGTACAAAAATACAATACAGCATATAACGATTTCAGTGCCCTTCCACTATCATTCATCAACATCTTTTTTTAAAGGTTATATTTTGCATAAATCGGTAGGAACTAATGAAATAATTGCAAATGCTAGATTCAAAGCCACAGCAGAAAGCTGAGCAAAGGTCAACCCTATAAGGCAATCTGATTCAAATCAGAAACAATGCCACTGAGGGCAACAACGCTAACGTTGGCTCTGCCTGGCATAGGACCAGACTCCATCTGCATATGGATGCAGCAAAGCATTTTTCACAACTACAGTGGAAACTGAGTGTGTCTGACACAGAACAGCACCAAACACATGCCAACCAGTAATAACCAAGGGCAAGCATTCCCAGTGTTGATTTTGAACACTTTGCAACACAGGCCACACTGCAGCTAACAAGTGGCTTCAGCGAAGTTAGTGAGGCCATACAGTAAGGTGTAACTCAGGCATTCAATTCATCAGGATGAAAAAAGAGACTACGATATGCTCTTTGCATCTCCCCCCACTCCTGACGACTTGTGTATTCCTGTATAAACCAGTATGGACTCTAATACAGTACCTGGCTGATGTCAATGGGCTTTGCTCGGTTGCCTGTTTGTACCAAGAGTTTGTAAGCCAAAACAGCATCATCAGATCCATTTTTATAATTGTTGTAAGTGATCTTCCCCGTTTCCCAGTCACTGTCAAATGCATCCTGAAGTCCTGAAGAGTTAAGGGAGATAAGGGGAAGACAGAACAAGCAGGTAAGCAATCACTCTTAGAAACAAATTTCAGTAGGAAGAAAGAATGACGACTCTTTTTTCATAGCTGAATCAGGAAGAAAGTTATCCACCTGCTGCCTCCTACATTTGGGGCTCCTCATTCACTGTCAGTGTGTGGGAAGGTAAAGTACCAGTTGCATGTCCAGTATTTTGCCCAAAGGAAGGCAGGTGCAAGGGAGAAGCCTCAAGAGTCTTCCCATGTTGTGCAGACCAGCAAAGCTGAGCTAGCAAGCTGCCAATGCAATGTGCACTGGTGTAAACCAGCCTCCCCTCAAGGCAAAGAGGAGATCTTGGATGGGATTAGGACCCTCTGGTCCCGCGTCCTTCTCAGAGCCTTTGAGAGCAACCTAGCACTCTGCTTAGAGAAGTATATGGGGAAGAGTTAAGATTGTCTAGAACAAAAAGTGGTTTTCATCATGAACCATAATTCCAGAATCATCACACTCAAAAATCCAAACTCCATAAGCATATCTGCATTTATCACCTCTTTCATACACACGCTCCTCAAAACAAAGCTGAAGTCTTGCCCTGACCTGGATGGTGCCAGAATAGAAAAGGGCTGAGTTCAGCCCTGATCCAACTTCACCGCCTACCGTGGAGTTAAAACCAGAGGAGGCATTTAGTCCGTTACCTAGCCGGGATACACTCTCCATACTCCCCTCTGCCTCACCAAAACCCTGGCCAAGTGCACTGAGCCACAGAGGAGGACACACACCGCTCTCATTAACTGTTTTGGGCTACTGCAAAGCACTGAGGCAATAGCTTCTACAATACAACCAGAAATTCCACTACAAGGGGAAAAAAAACCCCACACTCAAACTTTCAACTTCAAACAGCAACTCAGCTGCTCTTCGAGCACAGCGTGAGTGAACACGATTTTGTCAATTTGTTCCATCTGTTCAGCTTGTGCAGCTAATACAACTCGTGGGATCTGCTGCCAGCACATGTAAAGATCACAGCCAACACCTATTCACTCTCAACTGTTATTTTCCTCTTTGCCACCCTTCAAGGGGGAGGGAATACCTCACAGCACAAATTTGGATCAGATTTAGTACAGGAAGCCACAGCCCAGTACAAGGAGGCTCTGTGCAAGCAGATGACAAACCGCATGTCCAGGGAAGGGAAGGAAAAGGCCGGGGGAGTGGCAGTGGAGGAAATCGCTGACCCACCTTGCAGCTGCGCTGAGGAGCCGTAATGAAAACCGTCATTACAGATCGGATAGGTTAGCTACAGCTGTACGGAGACAGGAGTGCTGGAAAAGAAAATGCACCCGACCAACACCACCTCTGAGCCGAATTACCCACTCCCATTTACAAACTCATCCCCCCTCCTTTAGAAAACTGCCTCCCATGTTGTCCTGCCACATCACACCCACTCGTGAAGCCAACAGACTAAGAACCAAGCGATGAAAGAAGCCTGCCAGATCTCTGCACACAGCGCTCCAGCACCTGCCCAGGAGGAGGACAATTTGCTATCAGGTTTTCTGACATCACCAATGGACTTTGAGGTCCCCTTTAAAAAAGCGTTGTTTGCTGGTGCCCTTGGAGAGGGGAAAACATTGCTTAGGACGTGCAAAAATACCAATCCATCCCTCCTGTGCCAAGTTCAGCTCCATGTCAGTCTCAGAAAGTGGCCAGGTGAGAGCATTTGTGCTATCGTACCAGTCATGTGAAAGACAACTTTGGGAGGTTAAGAGGCGGCTGTCAAAAAAGCACATAGGAAAGGAGACCATCGAAGAACAGCTTACCTTACAGTAAAAATGGCTCCCTTCAGCAGGAGGAGCACACAAATTGCTATGACAGACAGAATGTGGGGGCAGAGCTTTCAGACTAACATCCATTCCCTGTCAGGGAGCTCCACAGACACACAATAACAAATATATCCATTGGCATGTGACATTACCCATTTGTGGTTGCAAGGTACGTCAAAAAAGGGCATGTACATTTAACATTACTGCAGCGGGTGAAAACTAAGCTCTCTCGCATGTTCCCCCCTCCCCTGTTCTCACAAGTTTGGTCATCCCTCAAACCCTGCTCCCTTTTATATCTTTACTCCTCAGCTGGCTTAACCACTTTATGCTCTGGGTTATTTTACTACTGGCCTTGCTGAAACTGAAAGTCGGCGGAAAGAATACCAAGAAACCACTATCAGTTGTGCTTAATTTCTAAAGAATTTCAAAATTTCAATAATTAAAATTTCCCATAACACTTTGAAATTAATAGCAGAGTTGCTGCTTTCAAAGCAAACAGTACTTCTGTTATAAACTGTTCATACCAATGATTTTAAGGGACATTTAATCTTTTATAAATGGGATTAATTAAATGTTACTGGGCAGAAAGATAAAAGCAACTTGTTGACCTCTTTCTGCAGAAAAGTTATAAAAATTAAGGGAATTTTTAAATCTTGTATATGAGATTTTTTCATATCAGCAGTCACTTTTGCTTAATGCTTCAGAAGAAAGTGAAATCCTCCAAAATTATGTGGGGTGCAGGAATGGAGGTGAGGAAGGAACTCCTACTGACTCATGTGAACAGCTGGCACCATGAAACACCAGGTAAGATTATCCTTTGCAAAAACAAGCCTAATTACAAGCCACCAAGGAATTCAAGCTACCTCATTTACATTCAGTCACTTACAAAAATAATGTTAACATTTCCAGTTTAAATGAATGATTAGAGTTAACTCTTCTTCTGTTGCATTTTCAGTAACAGAAAATACACTAACATGGTATGATACCAGAAAGCAAAATACAAGGGAACCTCTGAAAAAAGAAGTGCGTTAGGCTGAAGGCGCTCTACTGCTAGTAAACGAGGAGAAATGTACAGCTAAGACCAAGGATGCCTTCTTGATAAAAACTGCTTTTGTTCACATGTCGTTGCTTCCCTCATTCTGCCGGACAAATGTCTGCATGTCAGGAGGCCATCTTCAGCCATTAATCTCTAGCACTGAATTCCCAGTCAAGTCAGCAGGAATTAGCCATGAAGTCTAAAGTTGCCCCTACTTGGATTATCCTGCTCCTTCAGCATGTAAAAATGCACCAGTAGAACCGTTCCCACCTTGCAGAGGATCCTCCCTGAATCCAGCCTAGAACTGTACCTTGTTTGTAAATTCTGTTTTCACCTTCCCTCCCCTTTACTCCCTCAGCATCAGGCCCAGTTGGTAATGATCAGGTATTATTCTATTAGTGTCTGCACCTTGAGATAATTCCCTAACTATGACAAGTGTGGCAGCTTTTAGTATAGCAGTTTAGTTCCCCCCTGTTATATCAATGCCTTGTACCATTTTAAAACATAACTTCTTTCTATTGATACATCTCAATATCCTTCTTCCTTACAGCTTTGTGAATGCAGTATCACAGCCTGTGAAGACAGCCCTGCGTCTTTACAAAGCAGCTGGTTTGTATTAATTGTCCCCCTCTTGGGGAAGGTGGGGAGGAGGGGTAAGGACACAGACCTAAATGCTAATTAGCAATCATAATGATTAATTGTAAAGCTGTGGGTGATCAACGGGCCAAGCAATGTGCCTTCCGTCACACGGCTGCCATGTCCACTCAAACCACTGCAAGTCACTGCTTCCTGGGAGCGTCCATGACCGTTCCAGCATGACATTTTAGCTCCATGCACCCTGTCAGTATATCCAGGGTACCAGGAATACTCATAGCTCCTCTAGCCAAAGAAAAGCGAAGGACAAGGAAGAAGGACAGGCAGGCTAATATGGGCTGGAAGGAGAAATGTAACTATGGGCAATAAGAAGAGAACAGGAACACCCCTAAGAACAGAGCAGATCTGGAAAGGTCACGTATGAGCATGGACATACAGCACAGAGAAGGAGATCTGCAGGCCCTTGGCATGGGGCCAGGGCCACGCAAACAGTCCTTAGCACAAGGAGGTGATTACAAAGACGACAGGGAGGCATCCAAAGTGGAAGAGGTTCGGGAAAATACATGGTGGGCCTAAAAGAGGGCGAATGGGAGTACGAGCACCCCTGGGAGAAACACCAAGTGGGCTAGTCTCCAGCATTTCGCTCTGAGAAGCCAGCAAGGGAGCAGATCCAAGGGCACCTTCCCGACTTTATCATTGGCAGGCTGTGCTGAGGTTCAGCACTAACATGTGAAGATCCTGAGCACGATCTCAGATTTCTGTCTCCCTCACAGGTTTGGGGGGGGTGGAACAGAAGGGGGGACATCAGACACATTTTTTCCTACTGTTCTGGAACAACAACAAAAAATACCCACAAAAGAAATAAACAGCAGAGTTACAAGAGAATTTGGAAAAGCATGGAGAAGGATGCTTGCTTAGAAATCTAGAAAGTATAGTAAGGTTCCAATCCAGAAAAACATCTAAGCTATGTTGATTTTTCTTCCTGCCAGTAATACCTTCCCTTACAGCTCAATATGCTTATGTGAGCAAAATATTTTAAGTAAAACTTCCAGTAAGTAGACTGTAATGAATGGATCCAATATATTTAAAAACCATTAAAAAAACAAAGCTAATAGCTGAAATACTGCTTTGCATGATGTATCAGTACATTAAACACACAGGAAACATGATTATTTTGATTAGATGTGTCACTTAGATGCATCCTCTTTCCCAGTATTGGCCAACATACTTTCAGAAGGAATAAAATACCCCAAATACTGGCAGTTACATGTTCTCTAAGAATCATTGGCTGCACTGGTCATCTGTAAACAGTTAAGGTTAAAATTTACAGCCTCACTAGGTCAGCACAATTTATTTTTCTGTTGGCAAAAGCTTCCTGGAGATTCTCCCAACAGAAAGACAGAGGTAGGACAGACGTACTCCTGGGCAGTATAAGTTTGCTCACAGCAGAGAGCTGTTAAATTTGCTGAGATGTAACAGTACTATTTATTTTAAATACAAAACAGTTATTTGTCTCAACATGTGTAATTATACTATCTTTAACATCTTTAATAAGCTGACTTCAATATAATTATCATCATAGTACCTGCAAGGCCATGCCTTCTCTTGTCTTTCCCTGCCCCGTTACAATTCAGCACAGAAAAAGCAGCACTATAGAAGGAGTGAGGATACTTGACTGGAAATCTAGAATGTATAGGAGGTCCCCAATCCAATAAAACACAGAAGCCACACTGAATTTTCTTCGTGCCAGCAGTCCCAGCTGAAGCCAACAGGATCACTCATGTGGTGAAAGTTAAGGCTGTGCCAAAATACATTGCCGGATGGGGACTTTTCATTTACTGTTCTCAAAACACTCAACAATCATTTATTTTCCCAAGACAGTGGGCCATATTTGGCCATTAATTATAAAGCAGAACTCCACATTAGCTGGTTAGAAATTAATGGCATGAGATGGCCTTTCATGGATATGATCTCTTAAAGCTTCAAAACTGTCTTACTGGGGAGTAAACTTAACCACAAAGAATTTAAGTGACCTGTTGGAGAAACAGCAAGTCAACGTGCAAATTCAGATCAGCACCTATGCGTTCTCCCTCCTGCTCACAGTCTTTAACCATGTGAGTATATTCGAAGAGGGGAGCATTACTAGCGTGAACAAGTGGTTACTACTGTAGAATTAAGAAAAGTTCATGCAACTCTCTCTTACCTTGCAGCCAGTCTCGAAAGTAGTGCAACCACATTTTGGGAAGCTGCCTATCCTCTTCCAACAAAACGTATGTCACATTGCTGAAACTTCTGTGAAGTTCGTAAAGTAAGTGCTGGACATTTGGATAGTCTGCTTTCTGTGTCACAATATACATGTTGTAGAATGAAAAGTACTTGAACTGTGCGGCAATAAAGTCATATTCCCGTGTTTCTCGTGGTACAATGTCTGTGAGATCTAGTCCATCTCTTACCCGGGTAGTTCCATAAAGGCTGAGCCCAAGTAAACCCAGAAAAAGAAAAATAACCACAATCTGCAACAGAAAATGGAAATGCATTTGGTTCTAGGTTTCTAAAGAAACTAACAATTCATAATGGCACACTACAAAGCCAGGTTCAAAATTAACAACCGTCAGTCTACTTTAAAGCTTTTCTTTTTTTTTTTTCATAAACATATTCACTACAAGGCTAAGCTAATTTGTGCTTTATTGAAGGGGCTCTGCATCATGGATGAGAAATTTCTATTGTAATAAAGTTTAAAAGTGGCTTTAGTTTCACTATTCACAAGCTTTTGTTACTGAAAGTCACCAAAACCCTCACTCATAATTTATATTTGGAAAGTATGTCTCTACAGCACTTGCAAGATAAAACTTTTAAAGTATGAAATTAGCTGTAAAATTATTAAGAATTGTTATTCCAAAATATTTCTATTTATTCCTTATATTTAATACCACTGCCAGGATAATTTTATTACTGGGCAAGGCAGAAGTCTACTTTTGAAAAACAGGTAAATAGTTCCCTGATTACCTTAGCTTTTGGTTTTAGGAGAAACGGAGCATAATGCTTTTCTGCAAAAGATGAGAGCGTCCACTTCGTACAGGGTGGCTCAAGGCAATGCATACTGGAGTCTGAGAATTGGGAAAGCAAATCCCTCGTCGAGCTTGTGCTTTCTGGGCTCTGGCAGCTAAGATTATCTTGTGTCACTGTCACTGGCTGCACAGATATTTCTGAGCGAGGCTCTGCTGTGGTGTAGTACACCTGCGTATGAGGATCGTATTCTGTGCGCAACTGCACTGTAGACTGCATTGTAATCTGAGTTTCATGTGCAAAACTGTGACTGCTGTACGGGGGTGGAGGACTGTAGCAAGTATTGTCGTTTTCTGTATATGCTTGAGGCTCAATCTGAATCACTCTAGTGACACATGGACTGTAAGAGAAGAGAAAAACATCTGTTCGCATTTAGATGGATCTTTGTTTTAATCAGACTAGATAGGATAACCTGCTTCCATCTGAGACTGCTTCTACTACTATTAGATGGTTTATATTAACTAAGTGTAACACTTTGATGTGAATCTTAATTCTGCACCTTTAGGAAACATTTCTCAGACACGGTTCAAAGTGTAGGCCTCTGAGAATATGTGCACATTTCTTGTGCTCAGGAAAGAAGGAACCACCATCTGTCTGAAGACATTGGTATCTACCCACACCACTCCATTAATTACACATGCTAATCAGGTCAGTACCCAGGTAGCTGCACACAGTCTGAATGCACAGTATGTGTGTGAGTTTGCATCTACGTGCTCATACTCAGAATTAAGGTATTTCAATCAAAATGTAAACACATGACATACTGAGTTCTTCTGTTTAGAACTATTAAAGTAACTGTTAAATAATATTTGGGCCTTCTGGATAAGATCTCAGACTTTTGGGAGGCAGGTTGAAACCACTTGCCACACACTGACTGAATGTTTTAAAAATTAAGTAAACATACGCAAGGATTAATTCCCAGGAAGGATGGGTAACATGAAGAGACAAAATTACAGGTAATTGAAGCATTCCCTTTATTTTAGTCTATGCAAGACCCTAACAGATACCTAGTTTACAAAAAAAAAATTATCAGAGACAAACCTCTTCCTGTACATGAGAAATGACAAATTGATGATAGAAAACAGTATCAGAGATTTTTCACCAAGTGGACAAATCCTACAAAACCAAGAGGAATTCAGAATGTTGCCTACCTAAACAAACCAAGATCTCATTAACTGCATTTCTTCATAGGTAAATGGGCCTGAATTCTGATACATGTTTGGTGCAACTTTAGATGAGGGAATAAATGGAAGGTCTGATTGCCCTGTATTTCTGAGAATCAGGGCTCCAAAATTCAAGCACATTAGGCCATCCACTGAAGCTATGACTGAATCAGAAATAGAAAGTAGGAGTCCTGGCTTGGGATCCCTGTTCTAACCACTCCCTCAAAAACAAATTTAGGAAAGTGCTTTCTCTCTTTACATTAAAATTAAAATGTTAAACTATGTCAGCTCCTAGGTGTGTGTAAAAGGCGAAGATGACACAAGGCGGATTCTCCACATCCTGGTTATGACAGTAAGAGTACATGTGTAGAAATACAGCTGATCCTCTTTATTGCAGGCAAAAGCAGAAACTAAGGCAGAAAACATGCTTAATTTCTAAGCAATGGCTCCACTGATGACAGTAGGCTCCTCCTAGCCCCCCCCCCACACTCAGAGCTGGCTGTGTATCAGGTAAGAGTCTGTGTATACACTCTTTAGAATGGCAGTATTGCCATTCTAAATTATTATTGCAGCTGTAACAGAAACTTTATCAAGCATTATCCTGTAAAGGTACTGATCATCCCGCATTCCTCATAGTCCTATGAAAAACTCTGCTAAGGGGAAGTCATTTTACAGTTTATACATTATGTTAATGTATTTAAGTTTAAAGGCATAAAAAGCATAAAAATTAGCACATAGTGATTAACGGTAAGTAAGGCTTCTCAGTACCCTGAGTTATGTACAGTTTTCCAAGATTACCCAATACTAGCACTGGACACCTTGCAGTACCCCGTTAGATTCTAAAAATACTTGAAGATATTCCTAAAGCATGGATCTTTTATCTCCTTCCAAAAAGTTGTCCTTCAACAGTCAAAATGAACATATGTATGAATGAAGGGAAAAGTGTGTGTGTGAGAGAGAGAGAGACAGACAGACAGACATATTTTAACTTTTCCGCTCAGTCAGGTAGAAACCAAGGTAGCAAATGTAAGTCAGTCACTAGCAATGAAATCTTAACAATAACATACTGACCCCGCTGCAATGAAGAACTCCCACTTCTGACAACGAATGGTAGCACTGACCGGTGACCACAAAAAGGACACACCTCATGCATCAATCTTTCACACATTCTCACCTTGTAAAACAGCAGAATATATCCAGTCTCCTGTCTTCCCGACGATAAAGGTCCATGCTCAGGATAGCAGGAAAAATCAGCAGAACCATAGCAAAGTTGAATACCACCACAACTGCTGCCTGGAGATCAATCATAGGAGAAGCGATGTCGTTACTAAGCTTCATGTAGGGCATCAGCTTTACAAAGCATAAAACTTCCTTTCAATTCTCATCCATTCACCCATTTATCATGTCAACCCGTCAGACGCTTTCAAGCTTTTCCCTGAGGAAACTGGGAGATATACTTTTACATTCCCATTTCATTATGGTAGGCCTATTGTGGTTAATTACGTTCTTTCAATAATAAACTTCATATTATTTTAATACATCTGTGCCTGGAGATGCGGTGATAATTTTTTAAGTGGAAAAACAGAGTCAACAAATTGTACTTTTGCATGAGATTCTGCCACACTTAGGAGTCTCACAGTAAAAAAAAAAAAGATGGAAGCAAAAGCAAACCTGGAACTAGAACTGAAGTTCTCACATTAAAGGGGATCTGAAGTAATTTAAGCATGACAGTAACATTAAAGCACATTATTAAATCAGAAATGAAATAAAGATTTAAGTAAATTTTAATGAAACTTGTCTATTTAGTAAAATATTATGCACTTGTACTTACTTAGAAGTCTAGCCAAAAAGAACAACATTTTGGGTTTATCAGGGATTATTTTTAAAGGAGAATCAAAACTGATCCAACATCACATACATATTAATATGCTTGTATTTAACAGAACTTGATTAATAAGCCAGTCTACCAAAATGAGTCTTAAATTGGAACAAGAATCTATCTTAAATTGGAACAAGAATACTTGGTTTAATTTGTAAAGCGAACATTGCATAACGAAAAAAACCAACCTCCCCGCCCACCCCCTTTCAAACCATACTTCAAACCGTTTCCCACACAGAGATTCCCAGAGAATCTCCATAAACATATGTGGTGCAGCATCTATCATTATTATTAATAGCATTTATTTGTAATGCAGAATTGTTAGGAGCACTAGGCATCACAAAGGGAAAGCCTGGGCACAGATGGGACTGGAAGATAGTTGTAAGAGTAGGAGAGACACTGGGAAAAAAATGGTTGAGCCATCAACAGATGAAAAAATCCCTTGAAATCCTTATATTTTACTCATTAGATACGCAGTAGCCATCTCAATAGTAGGCCAGTTTCATGTTAAGGAAATCATACGAACTATCAAGCACCTCTACCTGTAACTTCTGAAGTAACGACTGCTTGGGTTAAAACAGTCATAAAAAAGAACAAAAGTTGGGCTACAAAAATGAAGTCACTGACCTGACATAAATAGGCCCCCCTTTTTCCAAAATAAACAAATGGCTGCTTTTGATGTTGAAAAGTCAGGCCTCAAAACTGGCAGCTCAAAAGATGTGACATCCAAAATCCATGCTTTAAAAATTCTTGACTTACGTGTCAAATAAATAAAATAAATACCCTAAATAATGCAATTTTTATTTTTGTGTCTCTTTATCTGTGAAAATCAAAGTACTAGCACACTGAATGATGTTTAGGGTTTTGAAGCTGTCAAAGTATAATAAATAAGACTAAATATTGTTTTTACTTTTTTGAGAATGACAGAATCAACTAGTTACGTAAATATTTCCTAGTCATTTCAATCAAAAATATGTTGTATACAAAAGTGTTTTTTAATGGTGTTTCTCTTTTGTTGTCTCCAGCCTGCTTTAAGTAAGATTTTGGTCCTGCTGGTTGTCTGCAGACATAACTACTAAAACAGAATTTACCTAGTACTTAAAGCCAAATTAGTATTTAGCCATCTTTGAGAGAAAGATCCAATGACGATTACATGATTTATAAATATGCACACAGAAAGGTATGTAAGGTCATAGCCAAAACTTTAAAATTAAGTGATTTCCTTTTGATCCTCTCTAGAATTAATTGAATCTGTCAGAAAAACAAATGGCTGCTGCTGCAAGCAAGGTGTTTGTTGGACCTAGTTCATACAACTGCTTTCTTTGCTGCTAAACCAGAGAAGGTTGAATCACCCATATAACATGAATAATTAGTTGTGTCTAACCAAGATCTTCTATCAAGGATCAGCTAAAATCTTACTGAGATTTGGAAAAAACAGCTGAGGCCTGACTCAATAATTCTTATTCCTCCCAGCATGGCTGAAAAACTAACAGAAGTCCTGTGTTCCTGCTCCATAAACTGCAAACGCTTCATGCCTTATCACTTCCCTTTGTAGACCCCAACATCCTTGAATGTCAAATGCTGCTAAACCTGAAAACTAATATGTAAGTGTACGGTAGAGATGCCATTAAAGTTACTTATATTCACATTTGATTTTTTAAGAAGCATCAAAACTAATCCAACCACACATAGTAAATCTGCCTATTAACATGGCATCTCTTTTTAGAACAACTAGATTTTCCATTGTGCCAGCCCGGTGTTTATGTACTAACCCTGCAAGTAAAATATTTTTAAACAATCCTCTCTGCTCTGATTTGTACTTAAATAGATTCCTAGAGCTTAACACCACACTTCCTATACATTGCACGCTGTCCCTCCCTCACCCACCTCCCCAGCATTTCAAGAATGTAAGAGTTCTCAGTTTTCACAGTTAAAACCAGAAAATATTATTCTTCTTTCAATTCTAATTTGTCGTACCATCAAAAAACACCCTGTGACTTGAAGAGGAGAGGGAAGGAAGAACTGTTGAGGGGTGACTCAATCTCCGACCTGATGCATCGGCCACCGCTTCCCCTCCCAATACCATTTAGACATCTGGTGGCTGGGAACGGGAACGTATGAGAAACGTGATCATGGCAATACCCACAATCTGTAACAACTACGTTGACTGGAAAAGCACCAACAAAAAACTGTGGCAGCAGAGCTTCCAGAGTACAGGCAATCTCTTAGCAGCACCCAAGCTGAGAGCATGCTTAGGATTTTTGGGGACAGGGCATCTTCTCTCACCCCTTCAGAGACGAATGGTCAAATGGGAGAGGAAAGGGCCTCAGACCCTTTCCTTGAGAAATCAACAAAGATAAGATTAGTCCTAGAAGGGATAAAATGGGGCCTACTCAAGGGTGTAAAATGAAGGCATTCAGTGAAATGAGATCAGAGAGTAGTAAAAAAATTCCATTAGTCAGAAAAAAATGTTGGTCACTTTCTGAGAAACATGCTCCCCTTTTTTGCATCTTTTCATAATGCACAGCCTAAAAATATTATTGCTGCCGCAACTGTTAATGGAGACGGAAGAATGGCAGTCTGTGCTGGAGGCAGCAAGGGAGACGCGAGCCAGGCTGGTAGGCTGGGGCCCCGCCGAAGGTATGTGCTGCTATGTGCCATTCCTGGCAGCCCACCCAAGGAGAACGGGCCTGCTGTATAGCCAGAGGTGATGAACAGACGAGGAGGTCTGTCAGGGAAACTTCCACCCTACTGCTGCCTATCTGCAACTCCCTCCTGACAGCGTACAGCCTCGGATCCCCCCTTGCCCTCCCGCCCCTTTTCCCTGAGGCTTTAATTTTGCTTGTTAAATTCTCCTGTCAGGAGCAGGGAAAGGTAAATGACGTGGGTAAAAGGAGGGGGACAAACCACTTCAGCGGAGTAAGATAACTGAATGAGCTTAAAAACTTACGTTCTTTCTCTCCACAAACCCACCACCACCACCTGGTAATGCACTTTTACATTTAGGAAAAAAACTTGTCATTCTCACAGTGAGGGAAAAAGTTACTGCTAAAGACTTATTGGGAAAAGTTCCACCCCTGCTCATTAGTGAATCCACACCACTCCTCTGCTGTTAGGGGAGGAAGTTTCTGGTGTGAGGAAGAAGAGGTAGATGAATTTTTGTAAAGCTGTACCTTCTCTTTCCTGGGCAGAATTTATTCCATAATAGTGTCCGAATACTCTGTCTGAGGAAAGAATTCAGTCCAGCAGTAGTTACCCTCTGCCTTGCCTTCCTTCATTTATACTCAAAACAAAGGGCTATGTTTAAGACATTCCTACTGTAAACTTCAAAAACTTTCAGTGGATTTCTCTGATAACCTCCCCTCTGCCACAGTTTTAAGAAATGAAACACATCTGAAAACTCAGGACCTACTCCTTCAAAGTCCTGTGCGCTCTTACAGGTGACTCTCGTGACTGAGTATTTGGGACATGTTCAGAATCTCAAAGCCCTAAAACTGCTTAAATAAGGGGCTAATAAGATCAACAAATGAAAAAAATTAATATGCTGAAAAAGCTGAAACAGTCCCTATCTGCATAATGGGATTAATTTTAAAAATCTCACTTTCAAAAGGACTGATTTCCACTTTTTAAAACTCGGCAAGAAGTAACCCTAGCAAGCTCCTAAGACAGCATCAGACTTACAGTGTTTGAGTTCCATAAAGTAAATGAACAACTCAGAGGTATCAATGAACTGCTTCAGCTGGCAGAACAGAAGCTAAGAAACAAGAAAGCATTGATATGCAAAATGTTGAGTTTCTAACTAAAAGTTGGGCTTGCAGACACAGGAAACGATTTATTCTCCCTCAGCAGCTGGGTTATTTTACAGATACTGGGCCTCAAAAGTTATGGAAACTTTGACAATTATCTTGCAATGTCTTAAGAAAAGTGAATGAAGAGCAAAACAAGGTCAAGAGCAATTCTTTTTTTAAGCCCATCTGTTAAAAATTCACTATCTAGATGAGAAGAAGGCAGCATCTGTGAAAAGTAAATGCAGTATTTCATTGCTTTCTAAGTCTTGCTAGGAAGCTATCAAAGACGGCGAGGACTTCTTGTTTAAACAAGCCTGAGTAAGAGGGAGAGGGAGGAAGAAGACTGTAAATAAAGAAATCCATATATAAATACAGACCACCCACCAAAATCTGCCATGGTTATCTGATTCTGAATGTTGTGATTAATGTAGCACCTGATTTTGATTTTACCTGGTGAAGCTAGGCAAAGCAAGTAATAGATGTTCCTTTCTAACAACAAAGGATGTTATTTTAGTGGTTCCTAACTTATATACATATCAGTTATATATATTGCTCTAGCACAAATAAATCCTCATTACAGCTTTCCAGCTGCCTTTTTTTTGCACATTTTTCCATCTCTTATATACATATAAGGGGTTACTATGTGCAAGCAAAGACAAATTACAGATGCATGTGAGAAAAGATTGAGCAACTTAAACATTAATTTCTGGACACCCAAACATTCCTACACATAGATTCCATATTAATCACTGCCTTAAAAAGGACTTTGATTGTCATGTTTTTATTCTGAATAATATCAACCTGTTCATACATGAATATGGTGAAATCTTACTGGAAACTTTTTGTTTGTCATTTTGCTATGCAGACTTCATTTTCTGAACTTTCAGTGACTCAGTCTATAGCGTGGAAGCAGGCAAAAATAAAAGACTTTAGGAAAGGTATATTTAACTTATACTCAGATTACAGTAACAATTACAGCTGCTGCCTCCACATATGTTCCAAAGGCAACCTGTCATGTTCTGATGTGAAGAGTGAGAACAGAGAAAGGCTGAGCAAAATTTGATCAGATAAGAAAGAATTAATTTTAGTGGCTCCCACTCAACAGCTTAGCAGTGTGATTAGGACAAAATAGCCCATCTCTGTTGAGTACTTCTTATGAGATGCGTTTAGGCTGAAGTAACTTTTGTAAAGCACAGATACTACAAAGCCTGGCAAAACAAGCCTTGTCCTCTGATTCCTAGTGAAGATCTCCAGTATCCTGTTAGCTGCTTAACGTACATGTTGAATATTTGAAATTGCGCCACAGATTTAGGAGACATAAGTAACTTCTTCCAACAGAAGGAGTATTACACTTCAAAAACCATTTCACACATTGACATTGGTCTTTGCCATAAAATAAAACAATTCACTGTCACGTCACCTGTAAGAAGAGACATCTAGGTTTTGGGAAATCAGTAGAGCTAAATACTGCTAACCATTCAGGACTAAGGATCTAGTTTTAGTTGCCACAGACATCTGCTAAACAATGCAGAAAACTAATGAGGCCTTTACTTTCTCTATTATTCACTACCAAATTCCCTATTGAGAAGGAAATGGTAAACAAATTATTTATGCTTATTGGTAACGTAACTGTAATCGCAAACAGTTTACCATTTTACAGCTTAATGCAGGCCTACTTAAATCTCTGGAAACAGCAATAATTGCCACAAGTATTAAGAAAAATTGCAGCCCTTGCTTCCTCTGGGTAGCCAAGGGCTCAAGGAGAATGAAAAATGATTGGAGCACCAGGCTACAGCAGAAGAAAAATAACTACTGAAAAAGTACAGTTTGCCTGCTCTGCACCAAGGTCACGCAGTGCTATAAATTGCTTGTCTATTAAAGCAGTGTCAGGGAAGAAATTCCCAGAGCTTTCTTCAAAGAGCCCTTGCTTTTGGAAGAAAGCTTTCTCTAGCATCCTTAATATTTCATATTCCTGAAGGTATATTATCACAAACAAATACAAGAAGACAAAGAGAGAAAGGGAGAGTGAGCGATACGTGGTTCAGCACACAAAATTCACATTTTCTCTCAAAGCAGTTGGAACGTAAAATTCTTGATGTTTTCTCCAAGTTTGCTAAAATTACATTGGGAGCAAGGCCGTACGAACTGCTGCAGTAATAATTAACATGACAAATGCATATTCACTGCTGTCATTGCACTTTGGTTACAGTTTTTAAGAGCAGCAAATTGGACAAACGTGAATGAAAGGATTAAACTCCTACTGAGGAATGTTACAGTACACACAACAGTACAGTCTACTCCTCTTGAGAATGCAAATCTTTCTGGAGACTTGTTTCTGCTTAGTTGCATACATCTTGGTTTTTGCACTCAACCCAGCTGTGATGGGGCAGGGTATTCTTTCACCTGCTAACAGGATGCGAGAGACTCCAGGCATGAGAAACGGGAGGAGCCGAATCAAGGGCAGACAGCAGTTGTTATTACCCAGATCCACAGTAAACAGTGATCACGTACTGGTTCAGTGAACTGCAGCAGCACTGAACACTACCACTTAACACTACCACTAACAGGTATCATCACTGGCCTTCCATGATGGGACCACGCATAAGAGCTAACAAAATAGCATATAAACTTACTTGGAGTGAAAATGCTCGTAAAGCAGGAATAGGGATTAAGGCAGCCATAAAGAAAGCAGTAACATTGCTGATAGATGTAAGGGCTACACTTGCTCCTGTTCGCTTCAAACATTCACCTGTTCTGTCCTGCAAAACAAATGACGTATCTTAAAAGTCAAGTGAATAAGGTGATGTCCTGCAAATGAAGGGGTCATCCTACAGATACTATACAGTAACAGTGAAAAATTATTACAATGAAATTCTGAATATAAGTGTGCATTTGAGAGTATGTGAGAATAAACAACATACTAAGTACATTGTTCAGGAGAAAAGCAGATGACACACAAAGTGCTCATGTTTTTTGCGGGTACAGAACTTTATCAAAGTTCTAGTGATTCTAGCTTCAGAACACAAAACTAAATGAGTACTGACATCGTATCAACTACGTCTGTAGTTAAGTAGGATATATTTTCTACCAGTGGAGTCACTTGGTGTTCTCCTTTTTCAGACAAAATAAGCATGTATTAACAGCACAGAGGCATAACATAGCTACACATCTTGAAGTATGTAACAAAACAGAAAAACCCAAAATCCAGGGACCACACACAAAAAACAGAGAAATCAAGATAAAGACATGACACTTTCCCAACCCAACAGGCTATTTTGAAGCATGGAGGTTATAGTAGAGTGAGGTTGTAGTGTCAGCATGCCAAACCAGCTGGAAAGAGCACATGGGAGACACTGCTTGTAAAAAACAGAATGGGCAAATATACATTGCTTTTAAATGGTTGGTACTTTGGATATGAAACTTTGGACCCAGGGTAAAAAAGTCAATAAAAGGAAAGGATCATCAAAGTGACATCTTAGATTTCATAACATTGATACGTTATGCTTTGAAATGTTATGGTCAATTATAAACATCAGAAAAGAAAAACAGAGAAAAATATACAAAATAACTCAAATTTAAGGCCACAACAAATAAGTAAAAGTAACAGTTGATACAAAGAAAAAGAAATGTTTATTTTCTAAGCTGTCCTCCTTCTCTTTCTTTTCACCTTAACGTTTTTGTGTTCTGCCATTAAAAGCATTCTATCATTTAATTGTCAGACTTGTATTTGAGTTTGTTCCTAAATTTGCATTGACTTTCACTGAAATTTTGGGCAGAGTTTGGATTATGTAAATTAGCCTTTATATGACAGCTATAAATTAAATTTTCAAGACAAAATAAATCTAAGACACTATTGCAAAAAAAAAAAAGAATGTGAACATTCCAAAACATTCCAGGATCACACGAATTGCCATCATTTCCTATTTTGACAGAAATAAGAATTTCTAGACCCTAGGAAAAGCTATTGAGAAAAAACCTGGGGTTTTTAATCACTACTAATTAATTCTGGATACAGTTATCTTTTCCTATACAAAGCCTTTTGTTTTATCTTACCCCAAATCCCCATTTATTATTACCTCGAATGGAATTCTCTTATTCTGCCCTGTTTCGCTAAATGCATGTGCCAGAAGGAAAACATCGTCTACACCAACTCCAAGAGCAAGAAAAGGCAAAACCTTGGGGGAGAAACAAAACAAACAAAACCCAAGAAGGTTGTTTTATGATCTGCCATGCAGCTAGCCATTAAATGGCTAATTAAAGCAACTTTTACATTACACTGTACACAAATCCAAGGGTAAAATGAAAATCAAAAGGATGCAATACAGCTATTAACTTTTATTCTGGAATACTGCTGAGGAACTTGCAGCATACCATTTACAGGTACAAAATCCCACCAAAAGTAATTCAAGTTTTGGGTAGACAAAGAATATCTGACAATAATTCAAGTTATATTCAAAATATTCTCAGAATTTGAACATCCTGATATATTCAGATGTAAAGACAAAACCTGCAGCTTCTTATGTACAACTGGATGCCCCCACTCGTATTGGGACACAGAAAAATCAAATAACCCAGAATCTAGTACTTATACAAACTACACAATACCTGCCTTTTTCTTTAATATCATTTGGAAGCATGATCACTTAATTTCTCACAGCATAAGCTATGAGATAGGAAAAAGGCACAAGTAAGAATCTAGAGCCAAAATCCTTTTGCAGCTTTTTTCCCCTCAAAGATTCAGTTGTGTTCGTTTACTAACAGAGTACTTGTAATTTAACAGCAGACTTGTGTCTCCTAAATACCTGAGTTGTGGCAGCATTAAAGGAAATTCCAATCAATGAGCACAGGCCCAATCCTGCAGCCACTGAGAGTGCAACCAACAAGACTCCTGCCAGCCCCACGGCACCCTGAGACTTGGCACAGTCCCACCGCAGCATTGTTAAACAGGCGTAGGCAAGCTAAAGCA